TAAATTTGCTCTGTAAAATTATACAGGATTACTGTAAAATCGCTCAGAGAGTATGTGTTCTCACACGCTGTATTTTGCAAAGATTAGCTAATCAGCACTCACTGCACACACCTGGAAGAGTATGTCTGTGTTTGACGAGAGGAGGGGACCATGCATAAACAACAGGTGAAAGAAAGAGCGAGGATTTTAAGATGCAGAATAACACTCTTACGGCAAACAGACAAACGAGCAAGAAAACCAGAATAGTTACATTTCTCAGTGAGAAAACTTAGGAACGGGAAGAGCATTCAGCTGTGGTTAGCTAAGCCATTACCCCATCTCCTGCTCCTTATTTCTGTATATTGTCTCTCAAGCTCTTTAAGAAGAAATTGCTATCATTGCAACTGCTGTTTGTTGTTATTTCAATATTATAAAATGAAACTTTATAGAATATCTCCCAGCAGTTGGAGAGATGTTTCAAGTTATTGGCAGGTTGCTCTAAGTGATAAGAAACAGTTTAGTAATAAGCTTCCCTTCAGCTAAATATAGTATATACATTTTATATTCTGTGGCTGTAAACTGAATGTGGAGTGTAGGAAAAAGTTTAATATTCCATGTTTTCTGCCAACTTAAAATTGTAAAGACTATGAACACATACTTACTTAAGCAGAAATAAATATTTCTGGTGATTAAAATAACAGAAACATATGATACCATGAGTAGGATTTGATGCATTTAGAAATGTAAATGAATTTAAAATAAGTATCCTTTGCTGAACTGACCCAGGGTCGAAGATCAGGGAAGATCATAGAGTTCCTAGAGGAACTCTTACATTGGTGTTTTTTTCTCTTATTTCCACTAGCAGAGTAGGAGAAAGTACACTGAAGAAAACGGGCATGCCCTTGTGCCAGTCTCAGGTGCAAATCCTTGGTGGCCATTCTTTGTGAGTTAGAGAGGAATTTTGATTACAGTAGTTTCACTTGAGCAGATTGGTCCAGTTTAGAGCAGTGCAAGGAGTGCATGCTTGTACAGATAAAACCTACATCACCTTTTCACCCCATCTGATGAGGTATAGATTGTGTAGTATACCAAAACTAAATAATGTGGTGTTGAGTTTAAACTCTATAGGTGTGATATGACTATATTGATATGTTTTTTTCAGTATCTGATGAGAAAAAAAAAATCATGGATAATTACATCAGAATGATGCTGAAAGAGGAATGCCATTTCAAGTTGACTTGAGAAGGACTCTGTTAGCAGTTAATTTTATCTTAGTAAGACAGGCAACTCAGGCTAAAAGCAATGTGCAACCTGCATTAAGGGCTTTTATCTATGGATGACACTGAGTTAGAGAAAATAGTCTGTTTCTATGTCTATAATGAAAGCAAGCCAACCTCTTTTTATTTCCAAGTTATGTATCTGTTTTGCATAGCAGAGCTTAGCAATCCATACAAATATTGGCATTTTAGGTTTAGTTGGTACAATCTAAATCGTAGCCCTTGGGAGTGAGATCAATACCCACACAGTCTTCTGAGGATTTAGAAGTGAAAAAGAGTACATAAGTACTCTTCAGAGGAAGGTAAAGGATCTACAAGGGGCAAGCTGTTAAAGGCAGATTTCCTTACTGAAAGAAGACAGTGTTTTTTAAATTTTAAGACTTATTTTATATACCTAGTTGCTTTTAATATTAAGCAAAGAAGCCTTCTTATGGGCATTACCTATCCCATTAAAAAAAGCAAACACATAGGCGTGTATGCTCACTTGCAGGTACACACACACACACACACACTTATTTAGTGCTCTTAAAGACAGTGACACATACTCAACTGTAAGAATTTTAGTCCAAATGATCTATTAAGCTTTTATAGGAATCCTTCTGAGAGAGGCAAGACTACAGTTACAGCCATTTCTCCCTCCAGCTGCTTCTTTCAGTGGATTTATTTTTTTTGTGATTGCAGTAGGAATTTCACAATAGACATGTCACAAGAGTGACCCCTGTGATTACAATTTTTGGTGTTTATTTTCAAGTGGTGCTTTGAAAGAGGTGCTGGTAAAGTGCCTCAGAGTATCGCAGTTCCTGAGTGTTAGATGAAAATCTCCAAACTTGCCACTGCAAGATTTTTCCCCTGCGTAAGGAAGCCTGTGAAATAAAGTGTGACACTTCATTATCTCCAGAAGTTCAAATACATAATGCCTGGTGCCATTCATTCATTCATAAGGAAGAGGACAGAAGCAGAGGTATTACTGTAGTACACCACACTTTCCTTTCTGGAAGGTCACTGAATCAACACCCCAACTTTATAGCGCCTAGGACATCATTCCAATGGAACTTTCAATTTTAGAGGTAGGCAGGATAATGCCAGCTTAGCCAGTGGAAGTTAGGAGACCTCTTGGAGCTGACAAGTGACAGATAATTTATCTCTTGCACACTCACTTACTTGAATACTTATTAAGTTGCTCTGCAGTATGAACAGTGATATCAGGATCTATCTAACAGGAAGTTCGGACTGAGCCATGAACAGAGCTTTGTTTTCCTGGTCCCAGTGTCAGCTCATCAGCTGAGAGGAGAGAAATCCCCTTCTTTATTAACAACCTCTGGCTCACTGACAGTTGATCCTGAAATTCTGAATTACATAATATATTCCAAATATATATATATATAATGATTTTTTATTTATATATGTTATATTATACTACATAATTCTGTCATTATAGCTTCTCTTTTACTGCCTTCATATGAGAGGAACAAAGGGATCATGAAAAATCTGAATCAGGGCATATTAAGAAGCTCTGGGACTTCCTAAAAAACAGGGTCGAAGGGGAGAAAAAAACATACACAGAAATTTGGAAATGTTGCCAAATTTTATTTTGAAGGAAAAGTGAATCAAGATAAAGTTTGATGGGAACACATAGCACGGAATTTCAAATTAAATAGTAAGTTTGAGAGGACTTTAGTAGTGGCTGAAACAGGGTCAGAGAATGCAAAGTATTAGAGAAACTTACCCAGCTTCAACTACCAGGTTAGTCTGAAGAGTCCTGATCATTCACATGGTTCATCATACTCCAGTATTACTGTCAGAAGAACTTGATGGTGACATGCACTTTAAAGGATGTCCTACAGTGCTATTATTGTCATATTTATTTTAAGAATAAGAGGATCATGAGGCAGCTTAAGTCTAATTTTTCTGGTACTACACAGACTTGCACAGTGAAACTGATGATGCTACTCTATTCAGTAAGTGCAGTTTAGCCTTTAAATTCATTTATGCAGCTACGGAAATTTCCAAAGAGGAAGATGTTACCAGAATAAATAGGTTTGTCTGAACATTACAAGAATGTGTGATCACAAATCTGTATCAGTTGAGTAATGTCACTAACTTCAATGGAAAAGTCTTTTTGAATTTAACTCATGCAACAAGGAACAGAATTTGTTTCTCATTTTTGTTTTTGATTGCATAGCCTCAGCAATTCTTATAGTAATCCTTTCATATCTATTCAAATTGGCTATGTTCACTCATAGTTTTAAGGAGGAGAATGTCCAGATGTTAGGCTTTCCCCCTGTTCTCACTGATGTGAGGCTTTTGACCATCTGCTTCTTCTCCATCCAGAATGTCCCTTTTAACATCTGCTACTTTTTATCTTCGTGGTCATGCTTTTCTTCCCCAGTTCCTATGCTTTCACCCTTTTCTTGCCCATATGTTTGTGTTTGGAAAGAAGCCCTAAACTCCAGGGAGCTGGCAGCCTCTCTGCTTCCCACTGACAAAGATCCTGAGACGGCATGAAATAGATGGCTGAACTGATTGGTCTTGCTTGGCTTGTCTGTATGCAAGCACCAGTAGGTGTTTCCAGATGTGAAGAGGGAGCACTGGTAGCTGTCTCTGCTTGTCCTGTTCTCTTCTTCATGTCATCCTGATCTTCCTGAGAAGCTCCAGGTCAACTAATCTTAGCAGAATCCCTGTAGAGAGAAGAATCAGCCTTTTTGTTTACCTGGATAATACCTTGTTCAGTGCACATTTTCTCATCATACCAACTAATCCTTGCCTTTTCTTCCATTCCTGTAGTGTTATGGACTGAGGGAAAGCCAGATTATTTACGTAGCCAAAACAAACTAATGCTTGAGAGTTGAGGCATTTGTTGAGGGATTATGTGCGGAGATTGTTGCAGATGTGTGGGCAGGCAGACTGCAAAGCATAACACTGTCAATGAAGCTGCAGAACTCTTGGCTTTCAGTGGTTCTCAGGCTGCCTTTATCCAGAGCCAGAGGGCTTCTGTAATTTCTTTTCCTCCCACTCCCTCCTGAGGGATAGCTTTCCTGAAAGAAAATGAAGGATGAGAGAGGTAACGCCTGTCAGAAGAGACCAGAGGGAACAGTCTGCTGAACTTGATGCTTAAAGATAGAGAATTCACACTCATTTAGCCTTCACGGTAGACAGCATTTCCTTTTTGAAAACAGCAGAGGGATGCAGTCAGAAGTCCATAGCAGTAATACCTATTTTTAAATTCTCTCCATCCCAGGAAAAGCCATCTCCCAGTGAGAAGTCATGGACTCTTCACTATTTTTATTGCGAGGTTTTGCCTCTTGTAATCTTCTTCCTAATGTGTTTTTCTAGTTGGACAAATAATAATTGTGAATTATAAACAGGTAGCACATTTCTTACCCAAGAGCAAGATGCTCAACCAGGATAGAATCAACTATAGCTGCAAGCAACTTCTTATTTAGGTAAATAGAGTTTTCTATATTATTTCAATGGGAAAATATTGTCATGTCTCAGCTGATGGCTTCTATTGTACTAGATGTAATGATCTTCTTTGGTTATAATGGTGATGAACCACTATGCAATCACATGTCAGGTTTTGACAGCACCTGTTTGCAAACTTAGCTAATTGTGCTCCATTGTCTAATTGCTTACTTTATGAACATTTTGCTCACATGTTTTTAAGCAATGCTATTTGATTGCAGATAACTAATGATAGCAATCTCTGCTCATTATCTTACTGTAACATTTTTCTGATTGCTGCAGGTGGAAACAATAGGTGATGCGTACTGTGTGGCAGCAGGGCTGCACAAGAAAAGCCTTAGTCATGCTAAAGCCATTGCCCTGATGGCACTGAAGATGATGGAGCTTTCAGAAGAGGTTCTCACGCCAGATGGGAGCCCTATTAAGGTAACCTCTTTGATCTTTATTCTCTGCTGGTCAGCGCTACAACTGGCCTGATTAATTCCACTATTTTCTGTTGGTAGTAATCTGCTTTGTGTTAGGAGAATTTGGAATTCTATCAAGATGTCACAGGCTGTTTTATGGATATATATATTCAACAATCAGTTAAACTATGCTCACTTTAGCAAATAGAGCAGATCAATACAAGCAGATCTGCAGACCAAAAGAACTGATAGCTAGGGACCTGACACCCACACGATACATATTTCAGAACTTTTTTGAGTTCCTATTTGTGGCAGGAATATATTAGATATGCTCCTCAAGCCCTTCTTCCAGTTCAGTTTAGTCTAAAAAGAAGACTGTTCACATGCTCAGTACTGTTGCAAGCTACAAGATGAAGTGCATTACATGAGGGCAGTGGAGAAACTTACTTCAAAAGTAGGCCTCTGATATGAACTGAAACACAAAAGTACATCCACTCAGGGCTCTGTTGGTCTAAGGGGCCACATTTCAATTTTCTAAATAGTTGCTGACCTGAGTAAAAAAAGAGTGTGTGAACTTCCTGCTCTTTTTTGATCATCATCTGTTTCTCACCCACTCAAGGTCCAGTTCTCTCCCCTAGCCTAGTACCAAAGAATCACAGGAGGTAGAAGAACACTTTCTGTGCCATTTTAAAATTCCACTCTGATGTTGTGCTTCTTTAGATGCAATAGTGACGTTATGGCTGTTAGTATTTGGAATAGGTTCCAAAGCCACGTAGATAAATATATGACTTTCTTTTTAAGGGGTCGGGGGGGTTATGTATGTTTACTCCACTGTATATCCAATTAAATTGTTCTTCCCATAAGACAGATTTTTGTTTTCAAAGAAAATGAGGAAATTATGTAGAATAGTATTCAACACTGTCGAAAGCACATAACAAAAGCCATATGTAGCTGGATGAGAAGGCCAGACAGAGTTCCCATGGGATGCTTTCATCATGGTTGAATTGCACTTTGTGTATTATAATTCTCGTCTGTTAGAAAACGAGGATTCTGTCCGTGGAAACTCTTCTTTGGTAAAAAATCAAGGACCAGTTTTGACAATTTCAAACATAATATAAAAGGCCTAATATTTTGAAAAATTTAAGTTCATAGATGCTGCTGCGATGCTTCTTGAGAAATGAAATAATATTCCTCTGAGTTTTCACTCTTCTATATCTTATTAGTCAGATCATAACTCTCTGATCCAATCTTTCTCTACCCAGGGAAAGTCTTCCTCTATCCAGGCACCTTCTCTGGTTTCTAGGGTCTGGGATTCCAGAGGGTGCCCTTGGTAAACACTGAAGTGAAGAAGGCATTCAGTAGCTCTGCTTTTTCAGTGTCTTTAATAACCAGGGTACCCAATGCTGTTCATCAGTGGACCCACATTTTGCCTAATCTTCCTTTTACCATTGATATATTTGAAAAGGCTCTTCATATTATTTTTCACATCTCTTGCCAGATTTAATTCCAATTGTGTCTTGGCTTTCCTCATCACATCCCTGAATTCCCTGACAACATTCGTATACTCCTCCCAAGCAGCCTGTCCTTTTTTCCACTTTCCGTACAATGCCTTTTTCTGTTTCAGTTTTGCCAGCAGCTCCTTGCTCATCCATGCAGGCCTCCTGCCCCCACTGCCTGACTTCTCGCTCATGGAGGAAGTGCTACTTGAATACTGACCAGCTCTCTTGGGCCTCCCTTCCTTCTAGAGCTCTAGCCCATGGGATTCTTCCAAGGAGATCTCTGAAGTCCATGGTTGCAAGGCTACTTACAGCCCTGCTTCCTCGTCTTTGGATCCTAAACTCAACCAGCTCATGGTCACTGCAGCCAAGGCTACCCCCCACCTTCACATCTCCAACAAGTCCCTCTCTATTTGTTAGTATGGGGTCCAGTAGCCACCTCTCCTCATTGGCTCCTCCACAATCCATGTTAAAAAGTTATCACCAATGCTCTGCAGAAACCTATAGGACTGTTTGTGCCTGGCTGTGTTGTTTTTGTCATGGTGCTTGAAGTCTGCTATGAGAACCAGGGCCTGAGACCATGAGGTTACTCCCAGGTGTCTGTAGAAGGCCTCACTAACTTCCTCATCCTGGTCAGGTGGCCTGTAGCAAACCCTTACCACATTGTCTCCCCCATTAGCCTGCCCTTTAACCCTTACCCACAAGCTCTCAACTTGCTCATCATCCACCCCCAAGTTGAGCTCCTGCATTGCAGTTGCTCTCTCACATGAAGAGCAACTCCACCCCCTCGCCTTCCCAGCCTGTCCTTCCTAAAGAGCACATAGCCTTCCATGGCAGCACTCCAGTCATGTGAGCTGTCCCATCATGTCTCTGTAATTCCAATGAGATCATGATGCTGGGACCGCACACAGATCTCCAGTTCCTCCTGTTTATTACCCATGCTATGTGCATTGGTGTACAGGCATTTAAGGGAAATAATTGAGCCTGCAGGTTTCCGGGAGGAGTGAAAGAGGACCCTCTATAATCATGTCCTATACTCGCTTCCCCACTACCATACTCCTGGTGGATGCCTTCTGTCTTTGGCTGCATGCCATTGATTGCCCTGTCCACGTTACATTCCCTGTCCCCCTTCATGCTTAGTTTAAAGCCCTCCTAACGTGGCTAGCCAACTTTTTGGCAAAGACACGCATGCCCCTCTTGCGAAGGTGGTTCTCATTGTTCTCCACTAGCTGATGATCTTCAGAGTTGCGTGGTCATAGGAACCAAAACCCTATCGACAAGACCAGCGGTGCAGCCAGTTGTTAACCTGTAATATGAGCCTTTTCCTCCTCATATCCATTCCCCACATTGGCAGGAAAGAGGAGAACACAACCTGGGCACTCAGACCTTTGATTGCCATCCCTAGGGCTCTGAAATGTCGCTTGATGTTACTCACTTTCTCCATGGCATCGTTAGCGCCCACATGAAACACTAACAGGGGATAATAGTCAGATGCTTGGACAAGCTTTGGCAGTCTCTCTGCAACATCCCTTATCTGAGCACCTGGCAGGCAAGAGACCTCTCTGGATGACGGGTCAGGTCTACAGATCGGTGTCTCCATGCCCTGCAGCAGGGAGTCACCCACAACAATCCATGAGTTTTGATGAAAACTTTTGGTGCAAAACCAAAACATTTATATCATCACTGAAAAAAATCTACATATTCAAAAATGTGACTTTCTGAAAAAAATCTGGATTATCCATTTTGAGGAAAAATTTTGAAAAGTTTCAGGAACTCAGGTGCACAGGTCATAATCTCTTCCATTCTTCCCAGTGCTGGCAGCAATACAGAAAGAAATAGGAGGATATAGTCCATCAACAAATGGCTCCTTGGCTGGTGTCATTGCCACAACTTTCATTTCTTCAGCAATAGGAAGCCTTACATGGCAGCAGGCATGATGGCATCTAATGGGATCCATCTTTCTCAAAGGGGGAAGAGAGCCCTGGGGCATGATTTAGCAGGACTCATCGAGAGGGCTTTAAACTAGATTCCCCTGTCATCGGGGAAGCAGGTTATGGGGTAGACGATGGCCTGTCATGCCAATCACAGCAGCCTAACTCCAGAGCCTGTGAAGAGTGCACTAAGCCTGAAGAGGCTAAATGGAAAAATAAGAGAACTTCTGAAGGCCCGCATGGTCAAGTTCCAGCTGCCCTGGCTAGAATGAGAGGCCCAATTGGGTGTCCAACTCCAATACCTCTATGTAAACACACACAGCATGGGGAATAAACAAGGGGAACTCGACATGTGTGTGCAATTGCAGGGCCATGATCTCATTGCGATTACTGAGACATGGTGGGACAGCTCTCTCATGACTGGAACGTGGCCATGGATGCCTTCAGGCTTTTCAGGAAGGACAGGCCAGAGAGGTGAGGTGGCGGAGTTGCTCTTTACATGAAAGAGCAACTGGGATGTATAGAGCTCAGCATAGAAATAGGAATGGAGCTCAGCATTCACTCGCAAAGCATGAACAGAGAGCCTGCGTGTGAGGATTAAAGGGCTAGCCAACAGGGGCGACACTGGGAGTCGTGGGAGTTCACTACAGGCCTCCTGAACAGGGAGAGGAAGTGGATGAAGCCTTCTACAGGCAGCTGCAGATCACAGACCCTGGTCCTTATGCGGAACTTCAACCACCCTGATGTCTGCTGGGATAATCACACAGCTAGGAACAAACAGTGCAGGAGGTCCCTGCAGAACATTGCAGGGAAATTCTTAACTTCCTCATCCTGGTCAGGTGGCCTGTAGCAAACCCTTACCACATTGTCTCCCCCATTAGCCTGCCCTTTAACCCTTACCCACAAGCTCTCAACTTGCTCATCATCCACCCCCAAGTTGAGCTCCTGCATTGCAGTTGCTCTCTCACATGAAGAGCAACTCCACCCCCTCGCCTTCCCAGCCTGTCCTTCCTAAAGAGCACATAGCCTTCCATGGCAGCACTCCAGTCATGTGAGCTGTCCCATCATGTCTCTGTAATTCCAATGAGATCATGATGCTGGGACCGCACACAGATCTCCAGTTCCTCCTGTTTATTACCCATGCTATGTGCATTGGTGTACAGGCATTTAAGGGAAATAATTGAGCCTGCAGGTTTCCGGGAGGAGTGAAAGAGGACCCTCTATAATCATGTCCTATACTCGCTTCCCCACTACCATACTCCTGGTGGATGCCTTCTGTCTTTGGCTGCATGCCATTGATTGCCCTGTCCACGTTGCATCACCGCTCCCTTCATGCTTAGTTTAAAGCCCTCCTAACGTGGCTAGCCAACTTTTTTGCAAAGACACGCATGCCCCTCTTGCGAAGGTGGTTCTTATTGTTCTCCACTAGCTGATGATCTTCAGAGTTGCGTGGTCATAGGAACCAAAACCCTATCGACAAGACCAGCGGTGCAGCCAGTTGTTAACCTGTAATATGAGCCTTTTCCTCCTCATATCCATTCCCCACATTGGCAGGAAAGAGGAGAACACAACCTGGGCACTCAGACCTTTGATTG